CCCCCCCCACACACACACACACACACACTCCTACCCCTCCAAACCACAGCGTGGTGCAAAGGTGAGCAATCGACTCTGTCAACTCAGCAGTAACCTGTTCTGCTGACATCATCCAACAGCTGTGTTCACCAAAATCCATCACCCTCTGCCCTCACACACACACACACACACACACACACACACACACACACACACACACACACACACACACAGAGGAGAAAATCCCACTTCTGTTCAGGATTTTGTTCTTTGAAACGCGCTGAATCTTCTTCTGCAACTTCAGCTCAGTTTTAAATATTAACAGCTCCAAGCTTTTAGGTGCAGCAGAGACCAACCTGCTCTGGAATCAATATTGCAGGAAGCTGAATCTTTTAGGAGTTGTTCTCTTGTTCAGCTGAGCTGAAAATAATCAAAAGCAGAGGTCTGACGTTTGTAACTTGTAACAAATGAACATATGTGGGGGAGAGGGACAATGCGTTGCTAAATGTGGCCAGAATCAGCAGTTCTTACATGCCTGAGGAGCCCTTTTGCATCAGAAATATATCATTTATTTCCAACCCAAACAGGTTTTTTTTTTAACAATTCACTAAACTTCCTCAGCTATATGTGAATCATGAAAGCTGTTACATTTTCAGACTGTCATAAAAACAAAAAAGGCTAAATGAGTATGTTTAACATTATTTTGTAGATGCTTTGCTTTTATTTTAGAGGCGTCCTGATGCTGACCTGAAAACATTTGCTGTGAGCTGAGAAACAAGCAGTGTTTTAATCCATTAACGTTCATCAACCTGCTGCCATACCCAGTTTCTTTCTTCTCGTTTATAGTTGTTAAAGTTTTTTTCCATCACAAATTACAGTGATTTGCAAAAGTATTCACTCTCCTCTTGCTGTTTTCTCTTATTTTGTTGCTGTACAACCTAGAATTTAATTGGATTTTCAATTATACCAGCCATAACTCTACAAAAGCTGTTGTATTTCAGACTAATTAAATGGGGGAAGACTTGTTTTAAATTCTAAAATATTTCAGACTAAACAAAGGTGAGTGCTAATTTACTCAGCTCTCAGAACTGAACACT